AAAAGCCTAAAGTAAGGGAGAAGAATTAAGCCCTTCAAAATATGTTTGAGATCTTTCCAAAAGTTCTTTAAAATGCCAGATAAGACTGTTGAGTCATGCTTGAAGCCTTTGAGGAAATGTGGAGAATGAAATAAATCATGTTTTCTATAAACAAACAAATTTACGTTTCAGGTTCAAACAGGTAAAAAGGGAAATTTTGCAAAATTTGGGTCTAGGCTTACTGAGCAAACTTGAACAAGATTCTAGGACTGATTATTTACAGGATCCCTTGTTTGAAACAAAACAAAAATTTAAACAGAACTATAGATTTCAAAACATGAAAATCTATTTATTTTTTTCTTTCTTTAACAAAGTAATCTATCTGGCCATTGCTGAAGCCCTGACATTTTTCAAAAATGTATTTAGCAAAAGCTTTCATGGTAGAAATTTTAAAAAAAGAGAAATACAAGGTCAAAGAAGGGCAATTTGGTAAAGGACAAATTAATCAATTCCACCATCAAACCTAAACCTATTGGCTAGTTGTCCAAATATGTACAATATACTAGTCTCTAATGTCTCTAATAGCAAGTTGTAACAAATCCAGTGGGTAGCAGCATCAGGATGTAAATAGTTTATTACAGGATGTCCATGCCTAAGTCTAGAAAGATGAATTTTAATGTGAACAAATAAAAATAAAACAAATGAGACAGCTCATTTCCCCCAAGTAACTTTGGGTAATATTTTCTAATGGCATTATTGAGCATTCCTCATAGTATTCAAAAAACGAGGCAAGCAAAATCAAGTTCTACCAAGAAACTTATTTAAATAGCTAACACTGCATTAGGCATGTTTAAAGTCTTAAGTAGAGAGAGTACATAAAGACACAAAAGAATTGGGCAATCTCAAGCTGCATGACTTGTCCAATGTTACCACGTCCAATGTTGTTTCATTTCTTTCCTAGGCTGGAAAAATATTTTATTACTTTTTGGCTCATACTTGCCGCATTTGTTATTAACCTTACTCTACTCAAAACCTACTACAAATGCTGACTTCTGCTCCCATGCAAAATCCCTAATTCAGACACTTATAGTACACCATGTGTATTGTCAACCTAACAGTCATGTGCTTGTTTTTTATGCTGCCATGGCCCAAATTCATTCTAGGGCCTACTTTTCCATTTAACTCAGATAAACTCTGAAAGGTCACAGACAATCATAAAGGTCTCATCTTCCACAGTTGGCTTGGGGAAAGGGCATGCAATCCAGTTTTGGCCATTAAGACATTTATATATTCAGTTATTGATTCCATAAGTATTTACTGAGCACCTACTACACAGCAGGAGCTAGGTGCTAGGGAAACAGCAGTGAACAAAACACAAATGTCTCTGATGTCCCAGATCCTAATTGTGGGAGAAATAAAACTAGTAGAAATACAAATAGTGTTAAAGGAGTTTGGAGAAAAGATTCTTCACTTTTAATATTCTAAAAATAATCCCAAAGGAAGAAATTGTTATTTATCTTCCTCTGGCATCGATGAATAGAACGTGATAGAGTTTCAGCAACATAGAGAGGAGATAGCCAGTCTGGCTAGCATGGAAGAAATGCACATGGAGAAGAAAAACACAAGGACTGTCATGAGCACTAAACTAGTCAGCTCTAATGTGTAAGCCACTTTTATCTCTTTTTTGCCTGCCTGCCTGCCTGCCTGCCTACCTGCCTTCCTTCCTTCCTTCTTTCCTTCCTCTCTCCCTTCCTTCCTTCCCTCCCTCCCTCCCTTCCTTCCTTCCTTCCTGAGACAAAGTCTTGCTCTGTTGCCCAGGCTATAGTACAATAGTGTGATCACAGCTCATAGCTCAGTGTAACCTTGAACTCCTGGGCCCAAGGGATCCTCCAGCTTCAGCCTTCCTAGTAGCTAAGACTTAATAGGCACATGCTAACACACCCAGCTAATTTTTTATTTTGTGTGTAGTCTGGATCTCACTATTTTGCCCAGGTTAGTCTTCAACTCCTGGGCTCAAGTGATCCTTTTGCCTCAGCCTCCTGAGTTTCTGGGTTTATAGCCGTGAGCCACCATGCCTGGCTCCTGAATTTTCTATTACTTTCTGTTGAGAGTACCCTCACTAATATGGCATTGTATACAGATTTGGTAGAAATATTTTTAGAACAATTTACTTTATCTCTGACCACTTTTTATAGGCAGATTGACTAGCAAACCTATTACTTCATTGATAATAGATAACATTAAAGAGAAAGGTAAATATATGCTGTTTTGCTAAGCTTGTGTACTGGCCAGAGAGGAAGAAAAAATATATAGAATTAATGCACACAGACTACCATATCACTTAGATAGAAATATACACCCATCGTAAATATATTTCAGTATAGATGTAAACAGCTATTGTTTGGCACTGAAAAAGTAGGTATCTGTCATCACAGAAGGATTAAGTTTATTTTGAGGCTTGTCTTATCCATGTATATACATGAATAATCATATATATATTTCAAAATCATCTAAGAAAGATTTTATATATATATATGTAAGCCTATGTGTATATAAATATAATATATACATATATATTATTATACTTAATCTTTAGAATTTGATTTAGAAATTCTAATTTGATATCTTAATTAAAAATATATTTCATGATGAGAATACTAGAGGAGAGAGACATTCATTTTTTAATGCAGATATAGAGATGGATAACATAATCAACAAATATTCCCCCAAAACTTGGTGAGAAGAAACTGTTTTCAAAATTTTGATATGATGAGGCAAACAGCAAAATCCCTCATAGAGACAGAAAAGGAAGAACTTAACAAAGAATGAATGAATGTTTGAGCATCTACCATTTTGCAATGAATTTTCACAATTTCTTTTTACACAAAGACATGACCCTTATCTTTCAAAAAGTTACATTCCTGTTTATAAGAGAAAAATCTCCCCTCATACTGTCCCTTTCGTTCTTTCCCCTTCATTCCTCCCTTCCTTCTTCCTTCTTTCTTTCCTTCCTTCCTTCCTTCATTTCTGCCTTCCTTCCATTCTTCAACAAACATTGAGTGCCTTCTCTGGAGCTGGTATTGTATGCTATATTATGAATAAGACATATAAGACAGCCTTTTTGCCCTTAAGAAGCTTATTATACTCAAGAAAAGAAATGATACATTTAAATAGATGTATAAATACATTTAGTGTATATTTGCCTGTTGAATATTATTGGGTAAACAGTGAATGGTACTGTTTTAGTCAGTCCAAATGGCTATAACAATATATCGTAGACTGGGTGGCTTATAAACAACAGAAATTTATTTGTTACAGTCCTGGAGGATGGGAATTCCAAGATCAGGGTGCCAGCATAGCCAAGTTCTGGTGAGGACTCTCTGCTGCACTGCAAACTTTCATTTGTTATTGGACCCTTACACGGCGAAAAGAAGATGAGAGGTCTCTCTGGGGTCCCTTTTAAAAGGCCACTAATCCCATTCTTGAGCACTTTATTATCATGACCTAATCACCTCCCAAAGACCCCATCAGCTAAGACCATCACATTGGAAACTGGAATTACAACATATGAATTTGGAGGGGGACAAAGACATTCAGGCCATAACAGTCACCGAAATCCAAAGTGAGGAAAGAGAAAGCTGTGAGCAGAGGACATGTGGGGAGATACTAGGAAAAAGTGGTTTCTATGGTGGTTTTAATAAAGTAATGAGTATACATAAAGGGAAAGGAAGATCATGAAGGCTGGGTAAAATGTAAAACAAAAGCATACATGCACAGATGTATGCAGGGTACTCTAGGGACAGTGAATGGCTTATGTTGTTGAAGGTACATGTTCCTTATAGAAGACTCATGAAAAATAAGTTTGAAAGGGCAGAGTGACGTCATATAATAGAAGTATTTAGGGGTCAGGCTAATACTTGGTTTAAAGGTATATGCAACTGGAAGCCTATTTAAGCAAGGCAATACAATAAATAAAGGGGCTTAAGAAGAATTGTCTGTCACTGATGTAGCAAATGGAAAACTTTTTTTCACTTACTGGACTGTGATGTTTGAGTTGAAATTAGGCTTCAAAAGAAAGGTGAACAATTGTGGTCTCACACTAAAAATGGGAAGAATCGGGTGAATATGTATACAGTTTACTGAATCTGAGACCCTCATAATAATGATGAATAACAATTGTGGAGATTTGTAACTATTAGAGTTTGATTAAAGCATAGATAAGAGTAGAAAATAATTTAAGCAGCAGAATCACCCAACTTATGTTTACTTCAAAACAAGTAAAGCTTTGAATTTGAAAATCATAGTCAAATGTTAGTTTAAACATGCAGCCTGTTTAACTCATTCATCTCATTCAATTATTTCAAAATATCATATTTTAAATGTTAATTTTGAACATAAAAATCCCATTTAATGGATTGAGCTGTCTCCTAGAAAACCTTTTATTAAGCCAATCACATTCTATAACTACTAGAAAGACTTGGGAATGCTAATAAGAAAAGGAATGTTTTAATGAAATGAAACATCCAAACACAAAGCTACCCAGATCGGGCTACTTAAGAGTCTCAATGGAGAAATGCTAAATATTATCAAAGGTCTCTCCAAAGCCAGAGCCCTAAGGGCATAACAAACTCCTCCAAGAATTATGTTCTAAATTAGCTAGTGTTCCCCTAGATTGGTTATTAAATCCTTATAACCATATCTTGGAATTAAAAACCGTTCATATTACACACTCTGTCAATATTTTATGCATTATATTAGCAAGGAGGAACTTCTACAGCTTAAATTTCTCATTGGCTCTGTCTCCAAAAACACCACTTGGGAAAGTATGACTCAGATTCTCACCTGGCAGGTAGAATACAAAATGTTCTCTTTTCACTCATGCAGACAGCCTGGACTCATGCCAGGAAGATTCTCTCTGGCTAATGTGTGAACATTCATTGATAATATTTTAAACACACACCTTTGTATTAAGAGATAATTGACTTTTTTCTTTTAAATATTTAGTGGAAATGAGTACTTACTTAGGTTAAGCTTACTTAAATGACTTCCCTCAACTTGAAAACTTTGATGTGAAAGTTGTCGAACTGCCAATGATTGCATCCCAAAGGAAAGCTAAGGATGAAAAATAATGACACATGGAATATTCCAAAGGTAAAACAGCCTGCCTACTATTGAAAAGAATTCTCAAAGAATTTATTAATATACTTCTCAATTCTCCCCACAAAGTGTGTAATTACTACACATATGTGAATTGAAGGTATGATGATGCTTTTTTCTTTTTACACCCTGCCCCCTTTCCCCTCTGAAGTGCTTACACCAGAGTCAAGCAGAGTATTATTGAGCTAGCATTAACAAGTAATGCAGCTATGATAAAAAGCTAGTTTAAGCCTATAAAATAATCTGCTATAAAAGGAGGAAATGAGAGAGAGGTTGGGAAACTTTTCTTTGGTCTGGGCATGATGATCACAAATTGTGAGTGTGCATGAGAGTATGTTGTGTACTGTCTCTGCTGGTGGAGATTCTTCCCCATTTCCCCTTTCCTCCAACATAAATGAGCTTATGTGAGCTCATCGTCAAATTCTAGAGTATGATTTCAAGCTCAGTCATTAATGTTAGATCTCAATGTTTAGACCTACCAACAACTGTATGTATCAACTCAAAGATGAATGTGGCATGTATTACAAGACAAAATGAGATGATGATTTTGTACTAAGACCTCACCAAATATTTTGTTGTCAATAGCCAACTGTTTTTTAAAGAGTGATTATGTTATTATTTTGTTCATTTTTTTAATGGAACTTTACAAGTACCAGTTAGTCTTAAGGGAATCCTTAGTTGCTGTGAAATTAAGAGCAAGTTTCAGAAAGAAACAATTTCAGATAGAAGTTGAGAAGTTCAGATAGAAGTTATTTACCCATTAATAGAGATATGAAAGTTAATTCAATTTTTTTCTTAACTTGGTTTTTCACTTCTTTACCATTGTAAGAGATTGCCCATAAGCTTAGACAAGCATGGCTCTCAGCAACGCTATCCAAAATATTAGTGATATCCACAATACTCCAAGAAAGGAATTTTGTGCCACTTAAGTTCCAATCTCTATACTTGCACATTGTGTTTAATAAGGAGCTTCATAGTATTCTGTGTACCAGATATGTGTGAGATGGCTGAAGAAAGTGAATAAGACCACTGAGGCAGTTACGAAGCTAGAAATAGAAGAAAGAAGGTGAAATTTTCCAGAGATGTATAGGCACATAAAATTTCTTCAAAAACAGCCACCTGATAAATGACAGAATAAAATAAATATTCTGTTAAATTAAAATGTGTATAGTTTTAAAAAAAAATCAGCACCTGACATATACTGAATCCTTTACTTGGGAAGTGTCAGAAAAAAATACATCCCGGTAATATCTATTCCAACAAACCACTTCAGCTTTTCACCCTCTTGAGGCATTGTAATTATTCCCTTTACACATTGCCTTTAACATGTTAAGAAAAAGTATTTAATATCCTCATTTTAAAACATTTATGTCATTGCTTTTGCTCCCCAGGATGCTGTCATTTTCATGCATCCATCGTTAAGTGAACATCGTGCCCTCATTTTCCTTTTCATTTTCAAAGGAAGACTAAACCGACCTTATTAGTATTTTTAATCTATTTTTCTAAAGGGAAAAACACCAAAAATCAACCAAACATTTTCCTGTGATATTAAAAATCGCTAGGTGGTCTTTAAATTTCCTGCCTTTATATGCTTCTTTCATGTAAGAAACTTGAGACCTATTTTAACTTGGCTTTTACCCAAAGAGAACTTGAGTTGGCTCAAACTTGAACAGGCAAACTGTGGTTTCTTTAAAAAAAAAAAAATCTTCTTTCTAACACTTTTTTTAAAAGCGTTAATTCAACTTACTCTTCCAAGAAAAAAAAAAAAAAGAAAAGAAAAAAAACCAGGTGAAAGTAGTATGTGGCTTTCTTTACCATATACATAGCAAATGACTAAGACAAAAAATTTATTCACGATCACACAAGCAGCCTAAATAAATTAATAAAATCAAAAGATATTCTGAATTGAATAAAAAATAGTCACAAGAAATGTGAAGCCAAAAGATAAATTTATATGGCAGCCAAGTTGGTTTCATCCAGTTCGCCGCAGTTTGGTGTTAGCCAGTTGTCATACAAACGGGTAGTTCAAGACGCCAGAAGCCTCTGAGTATGAATGATGATGGCTTAAAAACTCTTTAATATCACTGGAAAACCTTGAAGCACACATCCTACTAGGTCATTAGCTTTGAGTTTACATGGAGATTTCTTCTCAGCATCACCTACAAAAGATTTAAGATCAATGGTCCAATTAGCTTTTTGATTCAACAACATATTCTTCATTGAAACTGTGCCTAAAAAAAAATACACACTTTGTTAGACTTGATGTAACCATTGATTTAAATACTAATTCCATTTATTTGTGTATGTCACATATACAAGAGTTTCTAATATTAGTTAACTGAGGATAAATAATAAACATAACAGTTAATTTGCTCTAAAATTGCTGTAGCTTAAGTCTGTGGTTTAACTTACTGAGATGACTTTTATTTTTGTTATTCTCAGTATTCCCTTTGGGCACTAGCTAAGAAACCTGTGGCTTTTTCAATCTTGTATTTATAAATAGAAGGTATTGTTACCAAGTATTAAGTATATTCCTATTCAAATGTGCTTTAAAATATGTTTAAATATAGATCTCCTGAAAGAAAAATAATCTTTCTAAATCATATTACATATTCGCATTTTTTTGTGTGTATTCCGACAGGAATTCCTGCCTAGAGGATATGTTACCTAAAATTCAGTACAACAGAGTGTTGGGTAATGAAAACAGGCACTGGATTCACCCAAACCCGGTTTGAATCCTACCTTTTTTGCTTATTAATGCTATGACTTTTGGCAATTTCCTTCTTCAGTCTCATCATATAAAAATGAAGACAATAATCCCTATCTTGTCAGGTTCTTGTGAAGATTACTATAGCACCTATTAGAGGGTTTGGTCATAGGCAGTGCAGCATAGCAAATAAGAGCACAGTCTAGAACCTGACTGCCTGGGTTTAAATCTCAGCCCTGTAATATATAAGTTTTCACATTGGGCAAACTACCTAAATTCTCTTTGCTTTTGTTTCCCCATCTGTGAAACGGGAAAAAATATAGTATCTACCTCATAGACCTGCTATAAGGAATGTTAAATAGTAGTACATGTTGATTATTGCATAATAGACTTGGGATAAATACATACTATGCAAATATTAGGTGGAATTACATAACAGTCTCATAAATAATAACTATATTATGATGCTACTGCTGCAGAAGAGGTAGGATGTGAGCACGAGAAACCCATCAAATGGCTCTGTTCCAAAAGAGCAAGGATGACCAGAAACAATTGCACTACTATGATGACATTGAAAACAGCTGTCTTCATTCCAGTTATCTCCAGTCTCCAAGAACCTGGAGAATGTTTTCAAAGTAGTCATAATTACAAATATGCTTTGAAATTGCCCATTTCATATAACCAATAGCCAAATGGAAAATTTTGAAACTTCTTTATTCCTTATTCAAACTATGTCTTAACCTTTTAATACCTTTCTTTGTTAATTTCTTTTTTTTTTTTAATTTAGGTATATACTATATCTGGCATTTCTCCCCATGTTATACCTCCCCACCCTCCCCAACCCCACTGTCCCTCCCCTACCCACCAGCAACTGCTCCCAGTGTTTGATGCTCATCTCCCTAAGTCCACGTTTTCTCATTGTTCAACACCCAACTATGAGTGAGAACATGCGGTGTTTACTTTTCTGTTCTTGTGTCAGTTTGCTGAGAATGATGGTTTCCAGATTCATTCAAGTCCCTACAAAGGACACGAACTCATTGATTTTTATGGCTGCATAGTATTTCATGGTGTATATGTACCACATTTTCTTTGTCTGGTCTATCATTGATGGGCATTTGGGTTGGTGCCAAGTCTTTGCTATTGTACACAGGGCTGCAATGTACATGTGTGTGCATGTGTCTTTATAGTAGAACGATTTACAGTTCTTTGGGTATATACCTGGTAATGGGATTGCTGGGTCAAATGGAATTTCTATTTCTAGGTCCTTGAGAAATTGCGACACTGTCTTCCACAATTATTGAACTAATTTACACTCCCACCAACTGCATAGGAGTGTTCCTATTTCTCCACATCCTCTCCAGCATCTGTTTTCTCCAGATTTTTTAATGATCGCCATTCTAACTGGTGTGAGATGGTATCTCAATGTGGTTTTGATTTGCATTTCTCTAATGACCAGTGATGATGAGCATTTTTTCATATGTTTCTTGGCCTCATATATGTCTTCTTTTGAAAAGTGTCTGTTCATATCCTTCACCCACTTTTTAGTGGGGTTGTTTGTTTTTTTCTTGTAAATCTGTTTTAGTTCTTTGTAAATTCTGGATATTAGCCCTTTGTCAGATGGGTAGATTGCAAAAATTTTTTCCCACTCTGTTGGTTACCGGTTCATTCTAATGATGGTTTCTTTTGCTGTACAGAAGCTCTGAATTTTAACCAGAAACCATTTGTCTATCTTGGCTTTTGTTGCCATTGCTTTTGGTGTTTTGATCATGAAGTCCTTGCCTATGCCTATGTCCTAGATGGTTTTGCCTACGTGTTCTTCTAGTGTTTTTATGGTGTTAGGTTTTATGTTTAAATCTTTAATCCATCTGGAGTTAATTTTAGTGTAAGGTGACAGGAAGGATTCCAGTTTCTGCTTTCTGCACATTGCTAGCCAGTTCTCCTAACACCATTTATTAAACACTGGAGTCCTTTCCGCATTACTTGTTTTTGTCAGGTTTGTCAAAGATCAGATGGTTGTAGATGTGTGGTGTTGCTTCTGGGGCCTCTGTTCTGTTCCATTGGTCTATGTCTCTGTTATGGTACCAGTACCATGCTGTTTTGATTACTGTGGCCTTGTAGTATAGTTTGAAGTCTGGCAGTGTGATACCTCCAGCTTTGTTCTTTTTGCTTAGGATTATCTTGGCTATTTGGGCGCACTTGTAATTTCGTATGAAGTTTAGAGTGGTTTTTTTCCAGTTCTGTGAAGAAGGTCATTGGTAGCTTGATGGGGATAGCATTGAATCTATAAATTACTTTGGGCAGTATGGCCATTTTCACAATATTAATTCTTCCTAACCATTAGCATGGAATGTTTTTCCATCTGTTTGTGTCCTCTCTTATTTCCTTGAGCAGTGGTTTGTAGTTCTCCTTGAAGAGGTCCTTTACATCCTTTGTTAGTTGTATTCCTGGGTATTTTATTCTCTTTGTAACAATTGTGAATCGGAGTTCGCTCTTGATTTGGTTCTCTGTTTGTCTGTTATTGGTATATAGGAATGCTTGTGATTTCTGCACATTGATTTTGTATCCTGAGACTTTGCTGAAGTTGCTTATCAGTTTCAGGAGATTTTGGGCTGAGATGATAGGGTCTTCTAAATATATAATCATGTCATCTGCAAATAGAGACAATTTGACTTCCTCTTTTCCTAACTGAATATCCTTTATTTCTTTTTCTTGCCTGATTGCTCTGGCTAGAACTTCCAATGCTATATTGAATAGCAGTGGTGAGAGAGGGCATCCTTGTCTAGTGCTACATTTCAAAGGGAATGCTTCCAGTTTTTCTCATTCAGTATGATATTAGCTGCGGGTTTGTTGTAAATAGCTTTTATTATTTTGAGATATGTTCTGTCAAAACCTAGTTTATTGAGAGTTTTTAGCATAAAGGGCTGTTGAATTTTGTCAAAGGGCTTCTCTGCACCTATTGAGATAATCATGTGTTTTTTGTCTTTGATCCCATTTATGTGCTGGATTACGTTTATGGATTTGTGTATGTTGAACCAGCCTTGCATCCCTGGGATGAAGCCTACTTGATTCTGATGGATAAGCTTTTTGATGTGCTGTTGCAATCTGTTTGCCAGTATTTTATTGAAGATTTTTGCATCCATGTTCATCATGAATATTGGCCTGAAGTTTTCTTTTACAGTGGAGTCACTGCCTGGTTTTGGTATCAGGATGATGTTGGTCTCATAAAATGAGTTAAGGAGGATCCCCTCCTTTTGTATTGTCTAATACAGTTTCAGAAGGAATGGAACCAGCTCCTCTTTGTATGTCTGGTAGAATTCGGCTGTGAACCCATCTGGACTTCAACTTTTTTTGGTTGGTAGTCTATTAATTGCTGCCTCAACTTCAGCCCTTGTTATTTTTCTATTCAGGGGTTCAACTTCCTCCTAGTTTAGTCTTGGTAGAGTATAAGTGTCCAGGAATTTATCCATTTCTTCCTGGTTTACTGGTTTAGTGAATAGAGCTGTTTGTAGTAATCTCAGATGGTAGTTTGTGTTTCTGTGGGATCAGTGGTGACGTCCCCTTTATCTTTTTTTATTGCATCTATTTGATTCTTGTCTCTTTTCTTATTAGTCTGGCTAGTGGTCTGTCTATTTTGTTGACCTTTTCAAAAAGCAGCTCCTGGATTTACTGATTTTTAGAAGGGTTTTTTGTGTCTCTGTCTCCTTCAGTTCAGATCTGATCTTAGTTATTTCTTGTCTTCTGCTAGCTTTTGATTTTTTTTGATCTTCCTCCTCTAGCTCTTTCAATTTTGATGATAGGGTGTCAATTTGAGATCTTTCCTTGTTTCTTATGTGGGCATTTATTGCTATAAATTTCCCTCTCAACTCTGCTCTAAAGGTGTCCCAGAGATTCTGGTAAGTTGTGTCTTCATTCTGATTGGTTTTGAAGAACACCTTTATTTCTGCCTTTGTTTCATTGTTTATACAGTTGACACTCAGAAGCAAGTTGTTCAGTTTCCAAGTGTTTGTGTGGGTTTGAGTGTGTTTCTTAATCCTGAGTTCTAGTCTGACTGCGCTGTGGTCTGATAGACTGTTATGATTTCTGTTATTTTGCATTTGCTGAGGAGTTATTTGCTTCCAATGATGTGGTCAATTTTAGAGTAAGTGCAATGTGGTGCTGAGAAAAATGTATATTCTGTGAATTTGAGGTGGAATGTTCTGTATATGTCTATTAGGTCTGCTTGTTCCAGCTCTGCATTCAAGTCCTGGATGTCCATGTTAATTTCCTGTCTTGTTGATCTGTCTAATATTGACAGTGGAGTGCTGAAGTCTCCCACTATTATTGTGTGGGAGACTAAAACTTGTTTTAGGTCATTAAGAATTTGCTTTATGTATCTGGGTGCTCCTGTGTCTGGTGCGTATATATTTAGGATAATTAACTCTTCTTGTTAGATTGATCCTTTTATTATTATGTAGTGTCCTTCATGTTTCTTTTGATCTTTGTTTGTTTGAAGTCCATTTTATCAGAGGTTAGGATTGC